TAAAAGCATAGACCAGCGAATATCAAGCGGGTCGATGACTAACCTGAATAATTAAGACCGCGCACCTTAATTAACGCGCCCTAATTACTCTCGCGACTCCCATTGTTTCTATGCAAATGCCCGGCGGTTTCTACCCACCTGGCCTTGCACAGCAGTGCATTGCTGGCAATTTCCAGAGCTCGGAGTTGCCTCTGACGTGGTTTACCTGGCAAGAACCGTGTCACACGCACCTGTAACCTCGTATAACCTCGATAAGCGTCGAGGTCCCTATAGAGACAGCCAATGACGTGTACAGGTAAGCCGTTCTTCGAAAAACTGTGCCATTCAGGAGAAACCAACAAAATGGCATCTATAATGGCGATAACACGCATGGCTCCCACAGATGTGTTCGTTGCCATGTTAATTATTCATGGTCAATTTATACGTCTTGAGCAGATGAGCAATACGTGTTGGCTGCCCACTTCAGGCATGTTGCGCTTTTGTAGTGTTTGTGAGGCATTCAAGCCATAAATGCCGTCAATTTTTGCGGCAGCTAAAGGTCACAATAGCATATTTGGCCCTTGTATGCATTTGCTCATTTGTGTGTAACAGGTAAGTATGAAGGGCGTGTTCTTAGGTATACATGACCCATATCATGGCTTAAATCATTCTTAATACCTAGTCAATGTGCATTACTTTCTTAGCTCTACTAGCTAGTTCTACTGAGATAATAGTACTATAACCAGATAATGGGAGTAAACTTTTATATTAATAATTTGGTCCATGACAGTTCAAAATAAATCAATGGTAGTCCATTTAAATAAAGTATTGATCTGAAACATAAGCTTCATTATATCTTCTGTTATAAAACAAACGCAATGCTTCTATTGATTAGATAACTGCTGATTTACCTTAGGTCAGTGTACACTCGAATTTTGGTCTGAGAATATAGACAAGTTTTCCTATACCCTTTTGTATACCTCTTTTGTAAAAACTGACCCCGAAAGACAATTATATAGAATTTAATGAATAATAATAATGGTAATAAGTTGATTAAGCAATCGATAAAATGAAACAAAACTTTACAACACAGAATAAATTGAAAGTAAATAAAAGAAAGGAAAGGTGAAGTATACACTTAGTCGGAATGGCGGGGGTTGTGGTTGTTTTTTGGGAAAAATACCCTTACTGTTGACGAAGCAATTGAAATCAAAATTATCCGTAAGTAATCTAACTTTCAGGAAAATTACACTTAAATCATTATCACATGTGGGAAATAGGGCTTAAAAATAGATTGCAGCTAACAAATTACCAAACATTTACATTTGATAAATATTAAAACATTTTCAACTTAGGTTATGATAGATATCTATCTTGGCTTTTTATTTTTTTTTTTCTATATTAATTTTATGATTCATCACTTAAGTAATACGAAAAAAATAAATAAATCCCCATCTGACCTTGAGAAAATCTGCTATTAATGTTGATGAAGCAACTGAAAACAAAATTACCCATACGCTACACTGACAGGGAAACTTCTTAAATCATTATCAAATGAGGGGAATAGGGCTCAACCAATATATTGCAGCAAATAGATCAGCAAACATTTACATTTGACAGTTTAATTATATATAGTAATATTTTCAACGTAAGTAATGATAGATGCTCAACTTGGCATTTTATTATTTCCATATTGACTTTGTGATCATCACTGAAGTAATATGAGAAAAAAACCTTAAAACCTCATTTAATCTCGAGAAAATCTGTTATTACTCAAATTTCTATGCTACTACTTCTTAAAATTACAATTTGACCCTGACTGTAAATGATACCTTTTTTATGTTGTAGTATAACATTTAACTGTCATAAACACTTCAACTTTATGATTTTATATACATACTAACATTTCAACAAAGAAAGATGCCTATAGCGGTAACCATTTAGGCACTATGGTTGGGGGTGTGGGTGTCTTTGGAAAAGCTCCCTTTACCGTTATATTACGATTGAATGCTGTTGAAACCAATTGATTTATAAAATAAAGATAAATGGTTAAAAGTTTGCATCATAAAATTACAAAATAACATACAACCTCAGATCAATATAGTTCAATAGAATTCCTTAACAAGACCAAAGTTAAATTGACTTAAATGAGCATTTCACATATTATATATAATAGATATAGATAATTGTTTCATTCATTATAAACCATACTATTCAAACGCATTATCTAAGTCGTTTTTTGAATGAATTTGTCCTCACGATGATAGCTATAATGTCTATGTACAGTGGGCTCCGTACGTAATCACGGATTTTGATGTTTTTATTCTGCATTCTTCGAACATCTCATGGTTATTTATGGTTATAATTAACAAAACCTGGTGTGTTTATATTTTTGTACCTTAATAAGCGAATGTAAAACAGCATATATTAACATCTCTATATTCTGAAAATCATGTCGATGAAGAAACTCACATATCGACTAACTAGTACAAGGGTACTTATAAAGACTTACTACCTGTCCATTACTCCATTATTTTCGCCGCAGGTTTAGCCGCCGTACGTTGTTTCACCAGCAAGAGATATTGGATCAATTTGACCACAATTTCCCACCCTGCGATAATCAAAACACATGAAAAACGCACCCTTTGAAACAAAGGGTCTCCAGTATATACAAAGTTGAAGAGTCGATTCAAAAATTTTGTGACAGACTACTAGCGACCCCTGTGGTCAGAGCGTACGAAATACGCACGGTGTTCCAGGAAGGCGACTTAGTTTGCCCTTGACCGCTAGATGGCGGTATACACGGCGTAGTTGTTGACATCGCTCTATTTCANCTGTTCTATTCATACGACTCCTACTTGACGAAAACGAGGCGTGATACCCGGATGACAAGTAGGCTTACAGAATTTGTGATAGGGTATGATACTCTTTTATGCGATCTGACACACACCTTGAAAACGGGTAGTGTGGTCAGATATACCGGTTTATTCTGGACCCGTAGGTGCCGAGTCTGGTAGTTGGGAAGGCCTGTATTTGTACAGGGCTAAATTCTATATAATATTAGAGAGGAGTAAAGAAAAGCAAATCAGCCAATTCCTTTGTCTGACAAGATGAAGTCGGTGGGAAGGGGTATCAGAAATAAAAGCTTGGAGCAGCCTATGCGATGACGTTTTTCTTATACGCGGATATTAATTTCAGTACGTAATCGTGAGCAGTTAAATCGTAATCTTACCCTATAGATATGTTCAGTTGCCCCAATAACCATCACCTGCTTAGGTCATTGTGTTTTTCTCTTGTATTAATTTTTGTACTTTATGCCATTATTTTTAATTTGTGCCAGCTTTTTGCTGCAGCAGTAGCCTTTTTGCTGTTCACATATTTTCGTAATTTTACCTTTTGAATGATATGGGGAAAAAGTTGTTATACCTTAACTCATCTCTGTTGCATCCATTATCCTTCTTTAGTAGTTATGTGACTTGGTAGCCGTTGTTTTTCCCTTCCTACATCTTTTTGCTCCATTAAGATGTTTTTAGGTGGAGGAAGTCTTTGTTCCACCTTATGTTACACAAGGGCGGATCCAGAGATATTCTCTGATAGTCTTCCAAATTACCTTTGTTGATCCATCCTCCATTTCTAGGCGTCTTCCGACAGAAAAAAATAGATACCCGTCAATGTCAACATGGAAATCTGACCGTCTTCCAGAAGACCCAGAAGACGACCTCAATCCGCCCCTGTAACTTACCTGGGGGATAAATATTTATTGACCTACATTAGACGCTGTCTCATTATTCAGCTTACTTGTGCATAACACAACTTAATTCTTGCTCGTCTCATTTGTTCATATGTTGGAATATGTGTACTGTTATTTGTAGTTAAGTGTCATTTTAGATAAATTCACAGGGTTTTATTCAAATAAAGAGCGGTCCTACCCGGGCCAAATTCCAGCACAAACTTAATGTCTTCCTTACAATTTATTTTAATGCATCCACTTGGAATTAGTTCAACAGAAAAAAATCCAGAAAATTGTATGGACAGAGGGGACATAAAGTGAAACTGTCTATGTACAATACGTAAACCATGAGAACATATGACTCTAGAGATCAGGAGTTTCCTCTTTAAACCTGACTAAAAGCAGACTAAGACTAGACTGTGAAATCTACTCTTGATATAGCTATCTATGCAGTTACATATTTAGCAATACCTATTGAAATTAAATAATCCGTTAAGAGTTAAATGGAAAGTATCGCATTTCTCATAGACAAGACACTGTTATTTGAGATGTATTCATTTTCTTCGTTAAAACAATTTTGTAGTTTCTGGCATCAGCAGATTTATGGTTCGTTAGAAGATAATAAATAAATGAAAATTTATCCTCTTTTAAAATCAATCTTATTTTCGATCATAAGGATTTTTTGTCACTTTCTTTTTCATTGAAGACGGTCACAATCACCCAGATTGCGACTTCAAACAAGTGATCTTCTCTAACACATTTTAGTCACGCACAACACGCGGCCCAAGGAAATAAAGCTCCATTCATTTCCGTGTCGTTTGAGACAAGAACCCACCAAAAACTTGTTTAGTGGGTCCTAGTTTAAGATGAACATTAATTTATTTTAACCACCAAGTTCATTCCGCTACTTCTGTTGTAAATGTTGAAAAATTACAATGGGATGCATTGACCATTGCAAATCAAGAAAGCAGTACATACGGTGTAGGCCTATAGGTGTACGTGGTATGTATTTTTTAACTGGCTCTTGACCATGACTTCCCTCTCCCCTTCGAATTAATTCAGTGATAAGCGAGGACAATTGTGTCAAGTATATTTATTGATCTGTAATGATAACTGAAAAGAAATGGGGACTGCGTGATTAAATGTTTATGGTGACGAATCATTTAACATTTTAATGAGAAGTAACGCCTTCCACTGACTCACGCCTGTCTCTAATACAAATATTTACATAAAATATAAAAAAATTAGCATTTAACAACTGACAAGGCGCTTTACAAAGAAAAGTGTTAACTTTACTTACAACATCTTTCATGGTTAGAGCAGTTACTTATACAAACTGTCTGTTTTTATTTACATCACCTGCCGCTCTTCTGTTTGCTGATACAGATACATGTAGCTATACTAACTGAAGTTAGTACTTTATTCTAAATCTTGTACAATATTTTAGATCAGAATGGGATCGATGAATATAACAGACTGTAACAAACATCACCGTTAATCTCTTCTGTTCATACTGTTAAAGATTCTTTTTTGTCATTTTCTGTCTCTTCCAATTCTTCATCACTGTCCTTCGGAATGAGTGGTATCCCCTTATATTTTTTTCGATAATAATACCAGAGCTGAGATATGAATTCAGCCAGAATAATCGTGTTCGAATTTCTACCGATTAGCCTCAAGGTAAATACTCCGTCCAAATATAAGTAATCGTGGACAAATTCGTTACACAAATCGGCGTCGGCGGGAGATAAACTACCTGTCACCTTTAAATGTTTTCGAATGAAATGCCTGCGTCTACTCGGTAAAAGATCTGAAAGCCAGGCGAAAAACCCGAGGGTGGTTGCAGCTGAGACGATGACAAACCAAAACCAGAGAAACATGAAGATCTTTTCGTTAAACATATTAACGGGTAAGACGCATTGCACGGTATAACGCTGGACGTTGTGACCTAGACGACGAACTTTGAAGTCGCACAGCGTCACTCTAGGAAACCGCCCATTGACTGTCCAATCCCTGTTATGAATAAAATCGTCAATCACGTCAAAACCATACACGTGAAACGCTGTGCCTAAAAAGGCATTGAGTAAAAAGATTTGACCCACGGCATTTGTGACGTAGAGCACCTTGCATACTAGATTAAGAACTGCGAGAAAATTTCCATGACGTTTTCCAATGAAGCAACACGTACTTGTCCCCTTTTTGCCATGTTTCCCATTGAAATGGTTTTTTATTGTGAAATATTTATCCATGTTCCTTACGAGAAATTTCACTGTTGTGCTCCGTTTCTCTGGGTTCAGGTAATCTTTGGAATTGATCATTTTTGTCATGGAGTGGATGTTAACCCCAGCGGTGTCGCTGAGAAGCCGCCATACAACCGTGGGTAAATAAAAAAGAAATGCCTGCAGCAACAGAATAAAAGGGACCCACTGGTAGTAGGCTATGAGAGGGCGCGGGGCATCGACCTCTGGGATATTTTCATTGAACGGTAGGAAATACGAATTTTGAAGCCAGCAGTAATCGTCCGTGTATTTTATCCACTGGTCGTTAAATTCGTTCGGTGTCCAGCAGTTGATGGGGTCGCCAACGTACTGCCTGGCACTGACCAAAACGGCCATGGTGAGCAGGATAAGCGCCGTGTAGCGACTGTTAAGGTAGTCGCAAAAATCATCATCAAATCGCAGCTTCTTCCAGAGGCTCGATCCATGCTGCCCGCCAAAGAGTGCGAAGAAATCCATCCTGCAAATATATGAATTAGTATGTGTTATAGCTTTGTAAATATGGATCATATTTCATCATATTAAAAGGACGTTGATGTCAAAAAGGCATAGATAAGTGTGATAAGTGTCTTTGAAAAAATCATTGCTCTGAAAGAAGAAACGTTATTTTCAAAAATTACGGTCTGTTGCTCTCTTTGCTCTACAAAGTTCGATTAAGATGTAGACACTAGCAGTATTTTATATAAGAAATAAAAAAGGACGTAACAAAAAAGACTGCTGTTATTCAAAGGTCAATTTTGCTCCCATGGACTGTTCATTACATTGATCAAGTATCAACAAATCTTACACTTAGATAAAAAAAGACTGACAGTAAGCTACACTGGTAGATGATATGAACATACAATTATACCTAAGAAGGCCTGAGCATGACGATATTCTGAGACCGTGGTACCGTGTCCCTATTTGAAATGTATATATCATGGGGCCTATGCAGATGGTAAATAGATACTCTCATGCGAGCCTTCAACCCCATCGGATTATCTTACGGAATCTAGTTGAATACCACAGAGAGCCAGTGGGTGACCCGTATTTTATGACCCAAGTCAAATGTGACATAATACATGGATGTGCTGTCCGCCTACTTGTATACATGTATATGTAGTATGTGGCATAGTTGGTATAGTATATTGTGAATGGACCAAGTATCCTATTGTGTACAGTCTTGATTTGTTTGATTTATAATCCAATATCATCCAAATGCACACACTTAACCCTTAAACTCTAAACCAGCTAAACCCCAGAAATATCTAATCAAACAATAGGGGCTACGTAGGAATTTTGTTTAGCTGTATTAGCGGCATCGGTTGACCAGCATCGTATATGCTGTTAAATTCGGCAGTCTTTTTACGCTATACATCGGCGACACCCAACATTACATTATCATTTATATGACAAACAGTAAAACTGCTTTAACACACCAACATGTGGATTTGCACATATGCAATTAGCCTACACTTACCCGTAAATTCAGGTGTTACTCAGCGTTAACATAAACCGACATTCCTTTCTGGGGTGCTGTTCTCTTTATGTAGATACCATCTAGTGACGAATGCTACAGGGTCAGTCTATTGTTCCCTGACAGTAAAAAGGTGATGAAAACGGACATCTGATGTAGCAAAAATCTGTGTTGGTTTTCTGAAGACGACCCCGTGCAATGGCTCGCGTCTTTTCTTCTCAGTGGTTTAAGAAGTTTTAAACAGGTTCATGAGTTATGGTCTACTTAACGTGTACTTAATCCTACCTCGTCACGCGACGCGGCACTGGGCCGTCCCACCACAATAACCTCCATCACCCGTCAGAGGGTCTCCGATATCCTTTTTTTTTTGCGGTATGAAATATATGGCGTCGGCAGAGTCAACACGTTGAAGGCCCGGGCGTGGACACTACTTATGTACTTGTTCACTTGACTGACCTTCTCGTTAAATAAATTTTGGAAATTTGTTCGCTTAAAAGTTTGTTTCTATTGAAATTATGGGAAAAACGGTCGCATTGCAATTTAAGATAGTAACTCTATAGGCAAATGCTTGAGATCAACTATTACAATTTGGAAAAAATTATAATGAACGCATCATATTGTTGTGTGTGATCTAGATTGAGAGGCTTTAACTTTTACCTGCACTAATTCTCCTCATTTTTACAACAAAAACAAGGTGGTGGTCATTCTCCACCAAGCCTGCAAATAATGTATAAATGTTTGATTTTAAAAACAATGCCTGAAAGAAATAAATACTCTGAGCATGTGAAATACGAAGTCACATGCATTACTCGTCTTTTTATTATCCTTGAAAATGCAAATATTTCGCAAGGGAAGAAGTTTTACTCGGTAGGCCTATAACTGAAAAATAACAACAACAACGATAATAATAATAATAATAATAATAATAATAATAATAATAATAATAATAATAAATGATTAAAATCAGAAAAGCTTTTTAACAGAATATTGAAATCTTGAGATAGATCTTTTGATCACAAACGCAGTTTTTTTTTATTGACTTAGGGTTTTCTTACCCTCTACCAGGGCGACAGATTGATTTTCCACAGATATTCACAGATATGTCTATAGATAAATAGACAGTCATTTTGGCTCTCAGTCAAAAATGTCCACAATAATAACTGTGGCCCTGGTAGAGGGTAGGGTTTCCTTCAGTGGCAGGCACATTTTTAGATGCTCTGTAAAATTGGTTAAGCGCAAGTCTTATCACTCGTGTAGAATATCTAAGCAACAACTTCACTACATTTGGTCTTATCACTTTCATGCCTGCCCCCGTACTCATTTCTCTTCTGTATATATGCGTACTATTTAAAGCAAAACATTATTCAGAGATGAAGTCGCATTTTCTCATATGAAGTCGATTCGATTTGTCAGTAAAATCACGTGCGGGATTTATCCCATGAGGTGGTAATATACCTTGAAGTATCTTAGCATTCATATACATGTGCGTGTGAGTGCGTTCTGGGGTCCATGTGTGTGTGTGTGTGTGTGTGCGTGCGTGCGTGTGTGTGTGTGTGTGTGTGTGTGTGTGAGAGAGAGAGAGAGAGAGAGAGAGAGAGAGAGAGCTCAATAGCTGTGAATCAAAATTTCATATCAGATGGGATTTGACCTCCATTGCAATGCCAAATGAGGTAACAATCAGCACAAGATAAACCATGCAGATTATCAAGTATAGGATGTTCGTTTGAAACTGAATTCTCACAGGCTTTACTATTAATATTAAAGTTTGTAATCTCCATCTCAAACATATCCTAACGCCCAATAACAGTGAAATGAACTGAAGCGACTTATCAAAATATTGACAATTTATGAAAAGCAATTTAGAAGACAAATAGACAAGGCTATGATAACAATACTAAATTTATGAGATGTGAAACGATTATCCTCGACCCCTATCTTATTCTATTCAAATGAGCTGGACCAGTGGGTCCAAAATATGACATAGGTCTAATGAAGAGCTATATTAATGTACCTCCAATACTAACGTGACATTACGTTTATGATGTTTATTTGGCAGTCCATCATATATAACAGGAATCCAGAAATTTACGTTAGAGTGTTACAGTTTTTTGCAGAATACATTAGCATGTGGAGTATATTATTCCTTCCCTTTTATTTCTGTTATTAAAAAGTGGAAATAAAACTAAAAAGTTTGCAGTCAAACCGACAAAGGAATTCAAACGGCATAATTTACTAATATTAGACAACATTTCATGCTTTATATATTCCAGATTTTGTTGCACGCACTATGCAGCAATTGCTTTTGTTTGTCTCAATACTGTCAACAAAAACAACAAAAACAAATTACACAGTTTCCATTTGCAGCGGTTCTTCTTCAGCGTCTTCAAAATCTTGTTTGGTGTACGTTTTGCGGAAGTAATCGTAGAGTTCAGCAGTGAATTCAGCAACGATCATGTCATTCGAGTTCCTTCCGAGTAGCTTTAGTACGAATGTCCCGTCTTGCCGCAGATACTGGTGAATAAAGTTTTTACACATCACACCACCGTTCTCTCCGTGACCAAGACGGCCCATGAGCCGGAGGTTTTTGCGCACAAAGTGTCTGCGTTCTCCCTTAAAGAATAAATTGATCCAGGGAACAAATCCATACACGGTAGCAGCGGAAACAAAAACAAGCCAAAACCAGATGAACATGTAGATCTTTTCGTTGAACAGATTTATTGGCAAAACGCACTGTACGGTATGGCGATGAATGTTGCCGCCAAGTTGACGTACCTTGAAATCACAAAGTGTGACTCTAGGAAAACGACCTGAGAACCACCAATCGCGATTCAGGACGAGGTCATTTAGAACGTCAAACCCATACAGGTGATAGGCAGTTCCTAGAAAAGCGTTCAGCAGAAACAATTGCCCGATGGCGTTTGCCAAGAACAAAACCTTCACGCTTAAGTACAGGAAGGTCAGATGATTGCCGTAGCGTTTACCCACTTTGCAACAAATGAGCACTTTGGTAATGCAACCGCGCAAACCTCCGCCACAGCATTCTTTGTCGTAAGTTTTTCGGCAACCGAAGTAGCCGTCCATGTGGCGCACGAGGTACTTGATGGTGTCTCTGCGTTTGTCTGGGTCCAGGAGGGCAAGATTTGTCACACAGTTGACCATGGTGTTCACATCGATGCCCGTACTGCAACTGGACAGCCTCCATGCGATTGTTGGCAGATAGAACAACAAAGCTTGTAGAAGCATGACGATTGGAACCCATTGGTAATACGGTATATGGGCACGCGGCAGATTGGCTCCCGGAATGCGCTCCTCAAAAGGCAAATAATACGTGTTTGAAATCCAGCAAACTTGGTTTGCGTACGAGCTGTAGACTCCAGTGAACTCGGCTGGAGTCCAGCAAATGATAGGATCCCCAACATACTGCTTCGAACTGATCAGCACGACAAAGACAACCATGATGAGAGCCGTGTAACGGTGGCTCAGACGATCATAGAAGTCGTCGTCACAGCGCACGCCCTTCCACACTCCGGACAATATATCAATGAACGGAGCCATGCTGGAAAATTACGGAATTTCATGTTAAAAATGTAAGATATAACCATTTATGAAAAAGAAGTGTTATAAGTTGAAAAAAGACTAGCTACCATTGAAAGAATTATATTGGACTTCTTGTGTTGTTGATAAATAGACACAATATACATGTATGCATTAAAAGCGAAATATGGTGAAGCTCATTGCAGATGTCTTCTTTTCTACTGTGGATATTGTCTATTAGCTACTAGCCGATAATTTTTTCTTAAATGAAAAAAAAAACCGAGTTTTAACAATGGTTTCAAATGTCTAAACTTCAGCGAACCTTTACTCGACAAAAATTACAATGTCACGTTATTCATATATATCAAGTAAAAGGACGGGTTAATGGAAAGAAATTCCTTAAAAATTCATAAATTACACGCAATCAATCAGAAGACATGAACAGAAATTACCAACATACAGCTTACATTCAAAATTTCTCTCTTGGCCTCTGAGTTTTTTTTTTAGTCTACCGTACATGAATTATTATAAGATTTTCAATCAGACGCGCAAAATGCAGTTCTTTACAAAACAAAATTTAGATGAATAATGTCAAAGAAAAAAAAACACTCTACCTGACAGAGCAGTGCCTCCCAGCGAACGTGACGTTGTGAGCGAGTGCTATCAGTCACTAGCGTTAAATATAACCTCGCAGCCCTTTATCGCACTCAGGGGGACACAAAAGGGGGAGGTGGGGGTGGGGGGAGGGCTTGGTCAACGCAGGATGACTCAAATCCCAGAGTTAAAATGTACTTCTTTCAAGTCAATCATTCTGCATGAGGGTTGTCAAATAAATAACCGAAAAACTTCACAGGTTTAAGTTGCCGTGAACACAAGCATCAATGAATAAATTTTCGATACTCGCACATTGATGAGAAAGTTGCACTTATCAGATTGGCTCGACGTACAAGGTCCGCTTTGACAACAAATCAAAGCGAAGGTTATTTGTAGTAATATAACATGAAAGCGACTAACACAAAGCGCGGACAATCCACGCCGACTCCGACCCCCTCTCAATAAAAAGCGTTCGTGTCTATTCAACTCCATCTTCTGGAACTGATATAAAGTGCAACAAAAACATTTTTGTTTACAAATTCAACGTATTATTTCGTATTAGTAACAATATCTGACATATACATATATATTTGAATACATACTGTACGAGAAACGATGTAAGTTCTTTCAAAAACGAATTAAGCTTGGAAGCGCACCGATTCATTCACTTTGAAAAAAAAACGTTCACAAAATTGTTAAGAAAAAGATAGAAATGAGAATGCAGATTTGCATAAGTTGAGCTTCGACTAGTTACAGGAGATTATCTTAGCTCAGAGAACCAAGAACCTATGCTACATGTACATAACACTTGCAAATTTACGGACGGACGAGAAAAAAGATGAAAGCACTTCAGTCTTTTTTCTATCACTCTTTTTGACGCATTATGACAATTACTTCTTGAACAAAAAATAAAAAAATCAGTTTTAATACAGGTTAAGGCAGTTGGAACAAAGTTTCAATGCCCATTCCTACTTCGGCAAATTACCTAAAATGATACAATCATTATTACCTCCAGTCGAAAGGCAAGATTTTCATTGGATGTGGTCAAAAAGAACATGGGCTTGAGACAAACTTCTAACCTTTCCTTTCAAAATCACAACCAGGAGTGATTTATAATGTTGGTACATAAAACAAAATAGAAAATTTCTTAGAGACATGCATAATTTTTTGTTGGGAACTTAAAAAGAAAAAAATACAAAAGTTATTTTAATTCTACATATGGCACACATGTTTGAGTATTATTAGCAGTCTTTGTAAATGCTGACACCTAACTGATACACAGAACTGACTTGAATGTAATGAATATCATAAGTAATACATAGAGGTCGTTTCAATAGTGTGTGACCACAGGTAAAAAATGGACTTGCTCAGAAACCAACAAAAGCTTGAGCTTCATTAAGTAAAGTTCGAATACTGGATTGCACCTTCAATTAACGAAGTGGAGACAAAACGAACAGCCATACTGTAACGGCAACATTCACATACTCTAGCACCGTCTCACAATTCTGTATCAACATGATTCATTTATAGTCTTTATCTTAAAATAAACACAGCTTTTTTTATACAAAAAAGATTCTTTTTTTATACGACAAAAGAATTGCTCCTTATAAAATATGACCAGAACATCGTCTATAAAATGAAGCAAAATCAATTTTGTTCGTTTTTACTTATCGGACTAAATTAAAAACTCATCTCTTTGAAACAGTTTCTTTGCTCATTTGTCAAAATTATAATAATAAATAAATAAATAAATAAAAATATATTCTGTTCATATTCATTTTGTTCCACAGCAAAAAGTTTGTTTCAACACAGGCTACTTGACAAACCATGGGAATTTCACTGATAACAACTGATATGGATAGCAATCTGGATATGGTTTATATGTGTATTCACTTCTTATCACAGATCTCACAATATCTGAATCATTTAATAAAACAGCCTGGTATAGTTTTATTAAACAACTTTCATATATTAGAACCTTAACTACAGTTCACTAAGAGTGTGCTATCTGTAATAAAGCACTTCGATTTCCAGTCAAGAAATAACTCAATAACAATGAGTAACATTGTAGTTAAATGTCCATGAGCTTTCTCAACCACTGCTGTCCTTGTTAACTTCGTTCAATACCCGGTTTTCTTCATCATGGACACTGGCACTATTTGATACAGCAGACAGTCTTGTTCTACAGGATACCTCATGGATATGTTGATAACAGTTGACATGCTGAATCAGCTTTTACACTGTGTAGGGGTGGCATAGCTCTAATATCTCATTAAAGATAGTAAAGCATGGAGAGAAGGGGTTGCCAACAGTTAATGCTGACAGGGAGCCAGACATGAGTAAGGCCTGGGAGAGAGGAGAGGGGGGTCTTCAGTCACAGTGTACACTGATATGAATTTGAGAGGGGTGACTGCAGTTAACACCGCTTCAGAGTCCTTGGTGCCACACTGTGCTGCCACTTCCCTGCCATGATATGATAATGATATGGTGACCCATTCCTGAAATAGTGAAATATGGTGTAAAATACAGCTTACAGAGAATGAACGATTGGATGGGAAGAGACACCAAATGATCAATTTCAATTTGTTTCAATATGTTAACTTCTTTTATACATTCTTGTAAGAGCTAATGAGAAACACTTAAATGCCTATTAAAGTACAACAGTGAGTCTCTTTCAATTTAAAAAAAAAACAAAAAACTTATCAATATGAATGGAACAATACTTCCGATTGCTGACATGAAGCAGAACCAGTACCTAACTAATGCCACATTTCACTTATCATTTAATCCGTAGCACTTCAAAATTGAATAACCACATTCACACACTCCAACCATTCCCCTTACCATGCATTTCTGTCAAATGCTGAGCTTCTGCCTTTTCAAAAAAAAAAAAAATTGCATATAACCAGTTCCACAGGAACCAAAGGTAAAAAGCTAAAACACACCTTGCCTTGCCTTTTCACCAGGGGGCACCACTTGACAACCCTCCTGCACCTTGGCGACAACAAAACTACATCCATGAAATGCAACCAAAGAGTGTAAGAGAATGCACACAGAGCTGCAAACAATATCACTGAAGCTTGGCAGGTTTGGTGGTAGATTTGGTGGCAGGTTTGGTGGTGGGTCTTGTTGAAGGCTTGACAGTGGTTACACTGGATCTCCCTGACCTTGGTGTGGTAAAAGTGGATGCTGGCTTGAAACGCCGACGTCTGTGAATATAATAAGAATATTTTAAAGACCCTACTGTTGGAACTCAATATAAACATGAACACACTTGGGAATAAAGGCACTAAATCAAAATTTTCTTTAAACAAAGTGACCAAACTAACATATATATATACATATATCTAAATAAGAAAGCATTAGAAATATATATATACATATAATTAAAACAATTTTTTTGATATGCAAATAACTAGGTATGCCTTCTTAATGAAAAATAATCAACAGAGAGCTGCAAACAAGCCAGGTTCCTCTCACCTAAAAGAGGTAAGAGCTGACTCTGTCTTAGGTTTCCCAGGCGGCGGGTGTGGCACTAACAGAGGCCCATGGTCAGAATCAGGACGTGGACTGGTGCAGGGGGAGCTGACCACAGGACTGTGACCATTCTTCCTCCTGGAATTTGATCTAGATGACACACTACTGTGATCAGACTCTTCACTGTGTCTCTTCGTGCCATCAACACCATTCAGTTTACTGTGGTTAGGATGACCCCCTTTCTTTTCTTTTAAATGACCACGCGATGTGTCACTGGGGGATTTTGTTATTCTGGGAGAAGAGTTGGGTGAATTACTGTGTTCACTTGGCACAGAAGAATGGGACGTTCTTTTTACACCTGAGCCTGAGGACCTACTATCCTGTGAGTCTGAACTGTTCTTCCTATGTGTCCCAGTCCTTAGCAACCTGCCGCCATCTTCGGAGGACTCTGAAGACTTTCGAGCCCTCCTGGCTGACCTGGTCATTTCGCCTGACTTGATACTGTCCACTCTGTCTGACTGAGGTTTGGCCGATCGTGGAGAAGAGCCAAAGCCTGGAGACCTAATCCCAGACCTCCTGCCTGGTGTTGGGGGTACATTTTCACTCTCAACCTCACTGTCTAAACTACATTTCTGTGAACTCACAGAGTCATGATGCTTGAACACTGGAATTCTAGATTTAGACCCTTTGCCTACACTGTTTTGTGTGCTCTGTCCTGCAGTGCTCGACTTGTGAGAATGTTTTGATGAATTATGCATTTCAGGTAGTGCGTCCTCACTAGAGTGAGGAGCGCTGGAGGAGCGTTCCTCAGAAAACAGTTCTGGGGTCCTCGATACCACTGGTGGGGAGAGTTTATTGGACAAAGACAAAGGCTTAGGAGACTTTGAGCTGACTGGAATCTTAGAAATACGTGGAGATGAATTGCTCACTTCAATCACCACTGGACTCTTTTCAGAATTTTTCAGATTCTTGGAATCATCACTTTTTTCTCCAGGATGATCACTAATTTCATGGAGATTTTCAATATTTTCAATTTTAGAATCAACCTCTATTTTTTCAGTTACTTGATTTGTCAAAGTTACAGGGCATTTTGTATTTTCGGACTCCCCAGTCTGTTTGTGACCGTTTCCATTATCTTGCTCCCTTTCTCCATTTTGTTGGTCTTTTTGGCTCTCACCAATTAGACCATCAAAGTCCTCAACATAGATATATTCTCCTTCCTCTACCACCAAGTCTGCAATGCCATGCTCTGCACTATTGTCTTTATCAATAAGGTTATCTTCAATTGCAGATGGTTTCAGAACTTCTTCTGTTTTCTTTTCACGTAAACCAGCATCTTCGATATGTTTTCTAGGTATATTGTCCATTATATCACCAGCTGTCCCCTGTGGTAATGGGGTGAATGGTTTGGGTTGTGGTGTGGTACTTTGCACCACTTCCCAGTGAACATCAGCTGCATCACTTTCTTCAGAACTGGTAGGAAAGGAAACTATCCATTGAGAGGCAACAGTATAGGGGGCAGCACGAGTGGCATTCTCATCTTCGGCGTTTCCACCAAAGTTCGTTTGGCTTCTGTCCTCAGTGTCCAAGTTGACAAAACTTGTTCTCCTTTCACCAGGCTCTTTGAGATCATCAGTCTGAAAGTGAACTTGACTCGGCCTGCGCTCTGGAATGGGATTAACGCCATCGGCAGTGTCTTTGTCACGTACATCGCCTGTCTGCTCTTCAGCAGGTGGTGGCACCACATTAAGTAATAACTTAGTTTTTGATTGGCTCTCGAGAGGCAGCTCTACTTTCTCAGCATTCTTGTCAGCTTCTATATCACAGATATTAATAGGATTTGGTTTTGCTGTCAAATCTGCCTCACCACTAGTTTGGGAGACTAAAGGAAGGTCTGTCTCCTGTCTGTTTTTGGTTTGAATTTCATTAGGGCTTTCTAATAGCTTTTCTTCATTTCCCATTGAAATAGTTTTCACATTTATATTGTTTGTCTCCATGGCATGATCAGCCTCTCCTCTATCCCCAGTCTCTGGAGTATTCTCAATATCATTATGCAGAACAATGTCATTATCAACTTCACTATCATTTGGCACTTTAGGTATTTGTGGCAAGCATCTGGGAGCAGGCTTCTCGGCTTCTTGTGATTTTGAGGGAGACTCCTCTCTCCCTACTCTGAGTATAGTCCTTAGTTTTGTGTCTAAGGCAACCAGAGGAATGACAGTCTTCTCTGGTTCAGCACCATTACACTGAGGTTTGTTAGGCAAGAGTCTCTTGGGACTGCCCTGAGAGGGGCTGGGCAGTATCAGAGCTTTCTCTGCCAAAGCCTCTTCCACCTCCTCTTTACTGGGGAACTTTTGCTCATGATCCCGCTTTAATTTCCAGGGAGCAATGTTTCTAGAATCCACGGCCACCTCACCCCCTTCACTTGTCGGCTTGTTTGCATCGTAACCGTTCTGAACACTGTTCTCTTTCTCGAGTTTACGCGCACTGTTTTCGTGATCACTGAAATTATCATCCAAGGCCACATCAGTAGCAGCATGGACTGGTGAGCCGGGAGATTGAGCACCATGAATTAACCTAAAATAAACATAAAGAAAAGCCATACAAGCTACTCAGCTTTAAACAAAAAGGGCCATACAGAAAAAAATTGACAGAGATGTGTAATTTAAAACATTATATAATGCTAATAGAGAAATTAAACTAATAATGTTGCAACGTAAATGTAATTCCATGGTTTCTGAACTTTCATGTTAAAAAAAAAACAAAACAAAAAACATTTAAAAAGTAAACGATAAATTGCCTTTAAATGCCTCAGACTTTGTCTCAAACAAACACTGAGCATGTCAATCACTGAGTAAGTCTGCAGACATATAATATTATGCCCTTAAAACTAGTAGCTGTCATATGCCTTTGTTTGAGCACTTGTTATTTAATGAAAACCAGTGGATATACAACTGGGTATAACATTTAAAATTTGATCCAAAAAACCCCTTTGCAGAGAACAGTAGACAATGAGAGAAAAACCATTCAACAACCAGGTTTCATTAACAGTCAGTGGGTTAAAACATAAATGCTAAGAATACTGATGCCCTTTTCCTTACCCTGCTAATCCTTTTGTCTCCTTTGTGGCCAGCGGTGGGGTGGTGGTGGTCGTGGTAGTTATGGAGCCATCAGCAGGGGCTTTCTCCCAGTCATAGGGGTCTGTCTCTTTTATCCCTTTCCTCTTCATGCAGTCAGCAAACAGTCCGTGCAGCATTGCATAATCTGGTTTGTCATAGTAATCTAAAGACGAGATGTGCTCTAAAAGCTTGCTAAACTCGCTGGGCAAGTTTTTCATTAGCAGAGCATTGTCACATTTTTCTTTCATTTTGCCCACTTGTTCTTTGTCCTTAGTCTTTCTCCAGGGCAGCTGACCATTCACAAACTCGACCAGCATGTACAGCAGTGACCAGAGGTCATCGTGCCGACCCATCTCCTGTAACACAATGCAAATACATTTTAGTGGAACTCAGTAGTTTAATAATTTACTACTAAAGTAAAATTGGTCTAAGGCAAAGGGACAAAAATTCAATCAAATTTTGAGAAATGCTGTACACTATACCAGGAAATAGATGATATGCTTTTAGGTAAGATATGAAATGTAATGTGATACTAGATCTTTGAAATATGGTAAAATATAAATAAACAAAACTTATCAAACAAATTAAATTACTTTTTATCTTTTTTTCTGGTAAAGGTCAGTCATTGCAGTAACAAATTTTCATGGATTCCAATCTAAAATTTTAATTTTATCTCTTTTACCTTGTTTTTATGAGCGTTGATGGAAGCATATCTGACAGTGCCTCTAAAACCGGCAGCTGCTCTTGGACTCCGCACTTCTCCAGCAGAATTTGTATACTGCCGAGCAAGACCAAAGTCCAACATGTAGACCTTCTTACACGTGGAAGTAGTACGACCCATGGCAAAATTAGACTGGAATTGAAAGAAAATATCATGTAAAAATTGAGATATTTACTAGAATCTGACTTTAGCATAAATGCACGAAGAAGAACCACATAAAAGTTTAATGATAATAAGTTTAAAATACACATACGTAAACCAATTCACACAAACACATGGAATTTTAAAAATGTATAACTTGTATATAAAAAATATATAGGAGTCATTAAATAGTGATTACTATGAATCATAATAACCACCATTTAATGACTCCTATATATAGCCCTACAAAGTATATTTAAATGGGTACTATGATAATAATAATAGTAAAATAATAGGAACGATCCCAGTAGCCCTGGGCCTGTAGCCTAACACATTTCATTACGTATATCAATATGTACTAAAAGGGAGCGTCTGTTGCCCATTTACAGTTTAATTTCATTGTCCAGAAGCCCAAGCAAGCTCCCAGTGGCACAGAGTGATTCAGTCAGACTTAATGCACATTCCAATACAGGATTTCTTACCACCCAGTATGATTCAGTTAAAACCAATGCACTACTAATTGTGGATCTTTAAAACTGGTCACTGATGGAACATGAATTTTTCATAACCTTATAGTGCTAGACCACCTAGAGCCTCTTTATATTTATCGAAACCATGCTATGTATTCCTGGTGTTCAGTTTAAAAATATACTAATTTAACCTAACAAGTTATTAAAGTAAAGTCCTTAAAAATTCTTATCAACTTAAGAATTATGCACTAGCTTAAATGATCTTATATAAACTAAATTTATTTGAGCAGAAATGAAAGGCATGCCTGAACTGAGAAAGTACTAAATGGAGTACATTAAATGCGACTTCAGTTCTAAGCAATCGATTGCTCTGGGAAATTATTACCACAATAACCCACTTAGGGCACTGTCACACAGCACTTACTGGCTTGACATCTCTGTGAAGGAAGCCCACATCGTGAATGTTTTCCACCGCCCTCAATATCTGAGCCCCCAGCCTGAGGGTGGTGCTGAGCGAGAAGCACCCCCGGGGCTGGCCCCGCCTTAATTCAGCCAAGTTCTTGCCCTGCAGGGACATGACCACGTAGTTAAACCGATCATTGCGT